AAAAAAAAACTGAAAGATAGCCAAGCACGAAAGTACTTGATGGAAAACAGGATACGAGTCGAGGAGGGTTAGGAGCATTGTCCACCTGCCCACCTTCGTTCCCCCAGCCGGCCGTGAGGCACCTGCGTGACGTCACACGAGGAAACAGCTGGTCGCTCCTTTCTTACCTGCTACTCGCCGATTCGCTCCTCCGCAACCTTCCTCTGTCCCTCTTTCTCCACGTCTCGCGCGCACTCATCTTTCCTCGTTTTCGGTCCTTGTTCCGTTCGTACGGTTTCTCGCTCGAGCGTTGTTTACTTTTTCCTTCTTCCTCTACGCCGAGCATCCTCCTCGCTCTCGGCCGCCATCTTGCTCCATGTCTCTCAAGAACCGTACAGCTCTCTTTCACTCATTGTCAGCCGCTTTCTTGCTCACACCTCGTCTCATCCCGAGGATCTTTCACTCGCTCGCTCGCACGCTGGTTCCTCGGCTTCAAGGACTTCTCGCTCTGGTTTGTCTGGTTCATCCTTCTGTCCAAGTCCCCCGTTCTGACGCGTAGCAGAAACCGTCCCTCTGCACGTATGTATACTGTTTTGAACTGCGACTCTTCTCACCGTGACCAGTGATCCACAGGCCTCTTCAACTCCTTGCGCTGGCAACTGATTCGCGGACCATAACGAGTGACCAAACCGTATACAATAATTCGTCGCTTTCTTTCTAAACTCGTTGATATGATATCACTGGATAGAAATCGTCACTAAGTAATAAATTTATTAGTTGTTTTGCCTGGATTGTATTTAAATACATTTAAAGCTGAGAAGATATTGCAATTTTGGGACAAAAAATTCTGGAATGTGCGTGGCACGTCATTCCTCAGCGCAAGAGGTTAACTCCCTGCGCCGGCAACTGATTTGCGGACCATAACGAGCGACCAAACGGTATACAATAATTCATCGCTTTCTTTTTAAACTCATCGGAATAATATCACTGGCTAGAAATTACTAATAAGTAATAAATTTTTAATATTATTTTGTCTGCATTGTATTTAAATGTACTTAAAACTGAGAAGATATTACAATTTTGGGACAAAAAATGACAAGAGGTTAACCTCGGTGGCTGCGATGTATTTGATTCACAGTTAACGTGAAAATTTACTTAGAATGTTTCAAATGGAGACGAAACACCTCTGTATCGTTATACATATTACTCTGTAGAAACCCCGTTTTCTTTCCCAAGCCGAAGTCGATCGTTACATAAAAATTTACCACGCTATCTTGCCTGATATTTATGCACCGAGGATACTTTCTAAAGAAAGTGGTCTCTTTAACCTCTTTCTAACTCGGTAACAAAATGCGTTCCTTTCAAGATCGATCGAAATGACAATCTGTTCTTCCCTGTTACATCTTCACCCTTCGAAAACGAAGCTATCAATATACTTGACTCGATCTAGGCGGTTATAGAGTTCTCTATTATAATTCATAGTCGAACAATGCGGAGTGATTTTTTTATGTTCATGCTTCACAAAAGATACTGTGAATAATCCTCAAACTAATCAATAAATCGCAAAACCGTCATCAATTATATTTTACTCGACGGTAAAACCGCGTTGGAAATCTAGTCGCAAAAATAATGAAATCTGCACTTTCTTGTGCACAAAGCTATATTACATTAATTTCTGTTTGGCTACGACGACTTCGTTACCCGAAACGTTAATTTTCGTTTCGAGTCTCTTCGCTCTGCAATTTGGAAATCGATCGATGCGATCGCTTCTGAGTTGCTTGCTAAGTGATGCACAAGGCCGAGGTCTTTCGTCAAATTTCAGTAATCATCTCAGCC